AAAAGAAACAACATATTTTTTACTCTACCTGTCCCAATTCCTCATTGAGGTCTGAAGTATTTACTTGTGCTCTCTGGTTTGTTTCCTTGTGATAGAGGTCAAGATCCCAGCCAATAAAAAAAGATCCAAGAAATTTCTGCATCTCAACAGTCACATAAAGTGAAATAGGTATGATAAAATTGTAAAGTACCAGAAAAGCAAGAAAATCTGAAATAAATCTCAGAATCTACAAGAGAAAAAGAGAAAATGTAAAGATTACTGCAGTGATTAGGTGAAACATGGTTACTTAGTTATGTTTTAATATGCATGAAAAATGACAAACTGACAGAGCCGGAGGAGACCAAGTCCCACATACACAGGAGAGAACACATACAGTGACAATGCAGGCATTTCCAGGTTGCCCCAGTAACACGCCTTCAGACTGATGTAAAAAGACTGCCTGAAGCTATGACTGGATGTTTCAATCCTCAAGTTCATTACTTTTTGTCCTTTCTACTGAATCTGTCAGGAGGGCTGCCAATTAATATTAACTGCCATGGTGATTCTGTTTTCAAACAGGTCTCTTGGTCTGAAAAAACCAACACATTCCCCGTTCCATCAAACAGCACAACTCATAGGCTTTTCTAAGGAATCATTAAAAGGTGAAGGCAAACAACTGATATTCCATGTTGTCAGAGGAATGTGCAAGTATTCTGTATTGGTTTAGGACAGCAGAGTGACAAGAGGGTTCCTGTCTACTGGCACTCCCCAGTGACGTGGGTGATCCAGGCTACATGTCAAGAAAGAGACTGGATTTCAATGGCACAGACTTCTTTTATGCCTCTTCAAATCACTGTGTTTGACACATACGTTTCAGGTAAACAGCTATGGAATAGGATAGAAATTTCTCTTTATTAGGTATAACAATTTTAACAAACTCTGAAATGCAACATTACAGTCTCTTTGCAGCCTCTTTTTCATTTGCACAACAAACTCAGTATCTCAACTGGACTTTGGGAAGACTCTTGCCAAATATCTTGAATATCGAGCAAGGAAGGTTAGAGATGAGAAAAACTGGAACATCTCCTCCAACTCTACCAGATATTGGTATAGGAGAGCATTTTGAAGAAAGGAAGTAAAAAGTAGTCAACAGTTTGCAAAGCTAAATAATGTCTGTTCTCCCTAATTAGGGAGTGTTGCTACAACTACTTAATAAAAGTCAGTACCAATAATTAAGGTGTCTGACAAAAACCTCAGGAAGTTCTGTGCCTCAAGAGATCTTCCAGACTAAACCAGAAATGATAAATAAACACTGAGAGCAGTAATTCATGTAAGAGAAGATATACTGAGAAGAACTGACAATTACTAAGGTTAGTGAGTTTCTTCAAGCACTGTCTATTAAATAACAATGTACACAATACAGGACAGATTAACAGAGAAAGCATTTCAGGTAAGCATGTCAGCATATTGAGAAATGCAAAGCAGATTATGGAAGTAAACAAGGGAGAGAGAAAAACAAAGACATGATAGAAAGAGAAACACAGATGGCTCTGTACGCTCCTGAACGCAAAGGTAACGGATGGAAAGACTGAGTAACTACTCATCCTGATTCTATTCAGAATTGAAAAGGCTCCACAGGCTAGTCTAACTTACACCAGCAACTACTTCAAATTAAGAGAAGCCACAAATTTACTCAACTGACTGCTTCAAACAGTTGAAAGTGTGCTAAGTGGGTGCAGGTACTAAGAGTAAAAGTCATTAAATAATTTGAAAACTTTAACATTCATTCAGTACTTTTCAACAGTGACACTTTCAGATAAGTTTATTTTAGAATACATTGAAAAGGTTTTGATAACTGTAGTGATAACCTGAATTAGTAATTTAAACAAAACACAGCATTGAGATAAACATATTTTTCCAGTTAAACCACAAAAACACTTTGCATGACAAGCTTCTGAGAAAGTTGCATGTTCTACTGAAATGCCAGTAAACTCTTCATTCTCCTTGAATCAAAGACATTCTCAAATTACTTCTTTTTCCTTCCTGAACCACTATGTACTAACCATAAATTTTGCTCTACTTGTGAAGCAGAACAGAACTCTCCTGACTTGGAATTTGGACCTTTTTGCACTTAGTGAGCGCATTCAATTCTCAGCTCTCTGGGAGGTGGGGAAGGCGAGAGGGGGGTGCGGGTGTTAAACATCTGATACCACATCACATGCGGAAACTGGATTTCTAATTTTTCTGTGCTTCGAAAATCCCCTCTACTTCCTAGAATCAGCTTCAGCCAGCTCCTGAACTGCTTTGGAAGAAGGCAGACTTGTACAGAAATCAAGAATTAAACAGAACACAGAAAAATACAGAATGCTCTGAACTGCAGACTTAAGGAACACTTCAAAGTATCCCTCCAATCTCTACAGAAGAGTGAGAAGGCAAGCAGGAGCTTGAGCAAAATTACAGCCTTACAAAATTGTCTGAACAATCTCAACATCACAGAATGTCTAAATGCCTGAACTGTGAAATCACTGCAATGGAAGGTGCACAAGAACAGGTATCCTCCTCTTTTCATTTAAGGAATGACAAAAGACACCCAAAAGAACAGTTATTATAGTAAGATCACAGAACATCAGAAATATGTCCTAACAAACCCCAAAATTTTCAAAAGGCTTGGTCTTTTCATAAAGGAAGAAAAAGTCTAACCAGTAACAGAGATAAGATATTTCTACACAAGGGTGAAACTACATAGGACTATCTCAAAAATACTGAAACAACAGCACACAGACTTGCAAGTGCATCATGTGGTAGTTACACCTATATCCAAGAATAGAGACATAATAAATATCATATTCAGTATACAGTGGTTGAGTGTTCCTCAGATATGCAACTGGGTAGAACTACATTACCTTACTACTGTTTCTTTCATGCTCTGTTTTTCCATTATACCAAGGCTCATCCCATTTTTCTTCAGCTTGCCATGCATACTTTAAAATAGTGCTCAGAATGGCTTCAAAGAGGAGGATTATTAGATAAATAATCAAAAAGGAATTCATGGACCTACAAAGAGGCAAAAAAAAACCCCGCAACTTCAGTTTATTTTACTTCATCTGTTGACACACTGTGGTTACATGAATTGTTTAAAAACTTATTGTACAATTTTTTAAAAAATGTATCTTGTGTTTGATATGTATATAAAGTTTCTATGTGACAAGCAAGCAACAGAAGTGAAAAGAAATACTACATCTGACTAAGATATACTCTACAAACATCAATATGAAGACTAGATTAAGGTGCAAGAATACCCCAGCAGCTGACTTGTGTCACACCTGTTGTCCAAGATTTTGGGGACTGACTTATCCTTCTCTTCTTCCCTGAGTATCTAGCAAGGGTGTGAAGGCAATACAACCAACCACAGTGGAAATCCAAATCTTCTTCAGTTAGAAGAGCACTACCACCTGCATCTGATTATTTAACCCAGACCATGCTATACCAGAATATAGTCAAACTTGCCTCTATATTCCATAATGCTAGCCACATCACCTTTCCACCCCTTGCTTGGATGACTGAACTTTTCCTGTGCGCTCTACAGGTCGTTTTGTATCTGGCTATAGAAGAATAATCAATCCCATGTTGCAAAAGAATGCCAGAAGGCTATCTCAGATTTTTAGGAACTGGAATAAATGCAACATATCAGAACTCCTTTTCCTTTTAAAATAATTCATTAGGTTCAACATATAAATCTCTATTATTATAACACCTATCCCATAACTACGAGCAAAGATTTTTAAAACTGAGCCTGCAACTTGTGCTAAAAGCAAGATACATTGAAAAACACATCTGGATAGGCTATATCCTTTAGACTAGGTAAAACAAAGCTATCTTCCATTATATTAAATACTATGATTCAGGACAAAGATTTCTAAGTGATTAAGACTTCATTTCAATCCATCCTCTTTAAAGGCATGATGCAGTTTTACAGTAAAGGGTGCACAGAACAGCAGAGGCTGGGACTGTTGTGAAAACTGTCTCTGAGCATCTGGTTCAAGCAGCATTTCACTTATCATTAAATGATCTCCACATCTGAAAAAACAAACCTCCTGAACTAACTTTTCTGCTTCAGTCCATTTTAAGCTTGGGTATTTCAACTTTGTACACTACTGAAACAATCAATAAAGGATGAAATACCAAGAAACAGATTTTGTATTTATAGCTTCCCACTGAAGGCAAAGCAATTACACTCTCTTCCCATGCCTACAACCTAATGACGAGATCATCAGGGTTTTAAAGTTACCGAGGAAAAACTAAGTTAAAACTCTACAAATAAGAAAGATATTAGAAAATAAACATACTTTTCTACTGCTGACCGTTTCTGAGATTTACTCTTGTAATTTAATGCCATCTTTGTCTCCATACCTGTATACACTGCAACACCTGGGAAGGAAGGGGAGGGGAAAGAGTTATACTTTATTTTCTGCATATATAAAATTTGTAGAATTTTTCATTTTAAAGAGACATAGGATAAAATCAAGAGGTGAGAGTACTTTTGTGTTTACTTCAGTACAATGGTGAGACAGTATTTTGTAAGTATTTGCAACATTCTGCTATAGTAAAACAGTACTACTGAAGTAATTTTAACACCTACTAAAACATTGTTCATTATTATGACTGTACTGCTCTTCAATATGTATTTTATGGAAATCAGAATGGTAAATCTCAGGAGAAATTCTTGAACAATGGGTAACAGTAACAACAGTAATTTATCCATTAAAGTTAAGTTATTCCTTTATCAAACCACTTCAAATATTTTCACAGATCAGAGCTGGAACTTTATATCCATATAGATTCTTCAGCATAATATCATTACTTTCATCTATAATCATATGCCCTCAGGTGACAGTCAGCAAGATTATCACAATTTCTTCAGTGCAAGTAGAATTAAACCACAGTTCATCAACATGTTTTAAGAAGAGAATACTCTTTAAATATTTAGATGTCTACAAACCAAATATTTCTTTAGTGTTTTTTAATCTTGCTCCACGAAGTAAGAGACTTTCAGGCCCAAGAGGTCTAAAAAGAAATAGATATATCAGCATTTTAAAATTAGTTGTTCTGTATTTTGTAGGACTGGTGAAATCTAGTTTCCTGTGCAAAGTTGTGCTATATCCCCTATGAATTCCCACTGCAACAACTCCAACCCCACCCTCATTTAGGTCCATCTTCAATCCTCTTTCCCTTTTACCATACCTCACCCACACATCTCCAGAGAGCTCTCAGTTTCCTTTCATGTCTCCTTTGGTCACTGCCATACTCTCCCACCACTGTTCGATATCCCATAATTAGTGACTGAGCTAAATATACCAAATGGCTGGTTCAGAGAGACCGGCAAGTTACTTGAGAAGCCAGCAGGCAAAAAAAACCTATTGAGCTCACAGTACAAGAGGAATGGTATTTCAGGTTTGGGTATTTTACCTATCTTACTTCTACCCCTCTGTCAAACTGAAATGATCTAGCAAGTTCAAAAGCTATTCACAGCAGAAAAACAAAGACAAACAACTAGATGGACACAATACCACCACAACAGTGCAAGTTCTGCTTCCTAACACAAGAGTAAAATTTCATGAATGTTTTTTCCTCACATCTATCACACCACAATAATACATTTATTTCACTGGCCAAGTTAACTGTAAACAGCACTGTGAAAATAAAGGTCCAGTTAAAATGAAAGTTCATATAAAGTTAGTGCCATATGTTCTACTCCAGTGGCTGTATCATCTTTAGAAACTGCCAGCAGGGTTGGTTTGAAATAAAAAAAATAATAAAAAGGTGCAATCACTATTTTTGCCAGTGTTTCAAATGAAAGCAGAAACTGAGCAACTGCAGCAGCCAGGTTGACATACTGGGTATAAGCAGAAGAATTAAAGATTATACACCAAGTGCTACGGCATACAAGCCCTTGAGTTTGTCTTACTTTTCCATTAGCTGTACCACAAGTAGCCCATGATCACTATTACATAAACAAAGCTCTTATACTTGAAGTTCCTTTGAAAGCATAACCTGGAGTTACTAAAAAAACCCCACCACAACCACAAAACAACCCCCAAACCCACACCCCACCTCCCACAGTTAAACATTTAACTTAAATGTGACTGCAAATGTGACAGTTACCATTCCAAATACAGTGTGCACCAATTATACACACAGATTATGACAGGTTCTTTAAATTACACATATATATGATAATATTTTTAGGCTAGACTCAAACTTTAATTGAAAAATTGAACTGAAAGGGACTAAATGGCCAAGCATTTAACCTTTTCTTATAAGAAACCTACTGTATACTTCTGGATTCAAGTGGGTTTTGCAGTTTGTAAAACCAGTCTGACAAACCCAAAATACAAAACCTGAATCAGCGTAATACAGACTAGACAAGTTTATCTTTCACAGTCAGAAGATACAGCTCCACCAGTAGTCAGAACTTGCAATTATTCTTCACACTCCCTTTAAACTGTCTCTGTTATATGTTGTCAACTAAATTATTTTGATGGCTTATCCCAAAGCTGAACCTGTCAAGCTTGGCAGTAATGAATTCTGAAAAGCTCTAAGTGAAGTAGCACATAAAGCAACCTTAGAAAACAGCTGAGTGGGTTTGGGGAGGGGGGGTTGGGTGGGTTTTTTTTGTGGGGGGGGTTGCTAAGGCCTTGGTCTTGGGGCCAAGTGATCTGCCTTCTACATTCCCGTATTTCTTGCAAAACCATTGACAAATCATTGATTCACTCTGAACTCCCTGCTACTCCTACTTAAAATTGACAGATGTTTGCCAGCCTTACAGGAGGTGCTCAGATTGAAAGACCTTCAGTCCTTCAGACTGAAAGCACACATTGAGGTGGAACTTGGACGGAAAATAATACTGCTTTAATATTTGATTCAGGTAGAAATTTCACGAAAAAAATGTGTAAAGGATAACATTTTGGACATCAGAAGAGTGAAAGAATTGTAACAGATCTACCTGCTTCTGTGACACATTTATACAACATAACACAGCGCTTCACGTTTTGAGAAGAGGTGACCAAGTTTTTTGAAATCTTGATTATCAACAACTCTCAAGAGAAAATAATTAAATAACTTGCATGCTAAATATTCCTGAAGATCTGACCATTTCTTGTGAGTGATTTTCCTGCCTATTTCAAACCATGATCTCTCTCACGCCTGTTCTTCCTATTTACCCTCCTGTCCTGTTGTGGTGTGGGGAAGTGAATGAGCAGCTGTGTGGATGCTTGGCTGCTAGCTGAGGCCAACCCGCTGCAATTAGCAATCTTTTGAGGAAGTCCACATGTAGGTCTGTAAGTGGCTTCACATCTTTATATTTTCACATGTTTAGTTATGTGTATGCTACTTGCTATGACTGCGTAGGGAAAGGGTGTGAGCACATGGTTTTATGTGCACACAATTATGTGGTCACTGTTACAGATGTAAGCACTTATCTTTACATCCCAGGTAGTACAGTAGTTTGAAATATATACTAAAAGCTACAAATTAGTAGCACAGGCTTTGTTAAAACAGACCAATAATTTCTAGGAATTTCAACTGCAAAAACACCTGTTCAGTGCCTCCAATAAACAGATGACAGGGGAAACTGTTGTAGTCTACACTATATGCCACTGGAAAATGTTTAAGATCAATAAATGTTTTAAAATAACAAATAGCAACAAAGTTACCAGCTTATTACCAGTGCCTAAAAATTACCCCCTTCAGAACTGCCAAGCTTCCCAGAACTGTCCAATTAAATCTGAAAAACTGGATAGCGATGAACTTTTCACTAATTTTTTTCTCATCTTCACCTGAAGTATGTAGCTATAATTGAATTGATACTTTCAGTAAAAATACCCCTCTCTTTCATATATTTAACAGTAACTATTTTTTGTGATTTTAACCAACTCCATCAGTTCTAAACATTAATCTTATAAAATTTTACTTACCGTACAATTTCTTCAGTTTGTTGACTTACAGTTATTCTTCCAACAAATCTATGAAAGATGGCCATGTGTTAGAAAAATCTACATAAAGATTAAAAATTGTAAAAAAACTCCTCCATATTTACAGAAAAGTCATTAATGGCTCAGAAGTACAAATTAATCAACTTTTATTAACAATCAAACTAAAACAATATGGCAACACTGGCAATAATTTTACAAGAGATATTTAACAACAGAAACATTTATCCTTCAAAAGAACAGTCATTTGAGAAAGCCTATTAGGTTTCACTAATAAAACCACAAAAGTAAGAAATAATTCCTCAACAAATGTAAGTTAGCATATTATCCATCAGAAACAGTAATTTTTCATTTAACAAAGCCAATCTACTGTGCTTTTAAAATGTGACACTTGCATATTTAGCAAGACCCCAGCTACAAATAGGGACATAAACTTCTATAGTAATTGTACCTTAACTTGATGTTCTCTACAAACTGAACTAAAGATCAAATATTTGAACAGCTGTTCAAACTAAGCATCTTAGTTTTTAAGAATTTAATATTTCTCAACGATCCCAAAGCTTACTTAAGAATAGCTTCTGTGATACACTTGGATTTTGAAAACTACTAGTTGATAGCTACCATTTTCCATTACACAATTCAGGAGGAACTTGGATGGGAATATAACTTTTGTTACCTATGATGCTGTTTTACAGAGCCTAAGGCATTGCTGGCTGATGTTAAAAGCTGAAATGAAGTACAGTCAGATACAATGGTTTTAATCTAAATTTCTGCTGCTGAAGAATGGAGTTCAAATCTTCTCTTAAGCACAAGCAAAATAAACATGACCAACACATATCCTTAGAATTAACATAAGCTTACAACAATTTTCTACGGTTTGAGTTAATTCCATTAAAAAATATACTCTATAGTACTGAAATCTCCTGGCAGAATCTTATACACTCCTTCTCTCCAACCTGCTCACACTCATAGGCCATTTAATTCTTCAAAAGCTGGAAACGAGTTTACTAGTTAGAACAGAAATGTACATAAGTGTCATGATTAAAATACAAAAGGTAAATATTATCCTGTAACTTCTGATTTACTACTGAAATAATCAAACTTAACTTGTCACTTGCAACTTTCAATAAGTACGTATGTATAAACACACTGATTATTATGACCTAAAATTTAAGCAGATATCTGAAGCTATTTTAATCCCAGCAAGACCCATAACATTCCTAATATTAAACACTTCATTTTGATTTAATTTCAAAATCTCTATTAGTAAAGTGATACCTGTATAGATCCGCTTCTGGCTGCTGACATTCTATAACAGCTACAAGTTTGTCCAGGTTGGCAACAGACTGTAACACTGCTGTTTCTGGGACTGCAACATGTGTCTGTAAAACAGCGTCCGTTAAGTTAATCATACAGGACTACTGGGTTGGGGGCGGGTGGGGATGGTATTTCAACAGGCTGAAATAAAAATAGCATCACAAATTAACTACATTCTATTTCATAGTAGTAACCCAGACCTTAAGATTTGTCTCTCCATCCAAACTTGCAGTAGTAACATGGCATGAACCGTCAACTCGATCAGATGACAGAAGCACCAGATCTGCAGGAAAAGTCTCATCTTTGGCTACTCTGACAATGTCCCCCACCTAATGAAGTGAACACAAATAAGAAGTGTACAAACAGAGTTTTAAAAGAGAAGAATTCATTTCAGCATTGTTAACAAATCATGATAAAACAGGCCACAATGATTACTAATGAAACAAGAGCTTTAGCTACGCGATAGAAACACAATTTTCAATTTGTCCTTAGGCACATACCCGAATGTTTTTAGATCTAGTTTTTACAAGGCCACCACTTCGAACAACATAAACTGGAGCACCATTTACTTCATTGTCTGCTTTGTGTCGTAGCCAGTCTTCATAACCCTGTGGAAAACATACGAATTTATTTTGTAAGCAAGAAACCTATAAAGCATTAACAAATATCTTCTAAGCAAATATGCCTGCTGCATAGCCTGAATACAGTTACTAACTTCTCTTGAGTTTCTACAGCTGTTACTCAAGAACCTGGGAAACCTCTTAATTTTCACTTACCTTACACAAATAAGTAAAGGCAAATAAAGTAGCAGAAGTGGTGAAGAAACTTAACAGTCCCATGTTCTGTTAAAACAAACAGGCAGTGACACTTTCTGCTGACGAGATGAACAAGTACTCATTCAATCTTTTATCTATGTGGATTAATATACCACAAAACTGGGAAGAGCCACTCCCAGTCTCTCTTACGGATTTTTTTTTTTTTTTTTTTTTTAAGAGAAGTAACAGACTGAAATTACTTCCTCATATCACAGCATATAGCACTTCTTAGAGTTACTGCCATTGCCCATGCACGAAATCTTAGAGAGTTCTTAATTTTGTATGACATGCTGTTCACACATCAGCTCTGTATAGCAAGAGAAAAGGACTGAGAAGGTTTTAGTTCTTTGTGAGTCCTAATGCAACAGTTCACAGCAACTGAGTTTTTAATGGATAAATTAAGCAGTTTTCCTTTACTGGGTATTTGGCACTTCTTTAAGCACCCTTTATCCCACGCACACACACATGCAAACATCCATGAGAGTGAATCCAGGTATATTATTCCCCTCCTATTTTCCTAAACTATCAATACATTGCTTATTTAATCTAACAGCATGACTGTCAATAGCGTGATCTCTGATTCCCAAGTCTAGGTACTGTTTGGAAAGGCCTATGAGCAAGCACAAGAAATGGATCAGCCTATGCAGGAAGTTCAACTGCCTCTTACATCCTGGCAAGACTCCTACAACTCATTTGCAGTAAGAGAGACATTTCCTAAAATGCTTTTCTGAAGGTATAAAAAAAGTGAAGGAGTTAAAATCACTTCCTTGGAAGTTTTTAGACAGAAGGGGGCCCTCTGAAACAGCACGCATAATCCCAACTCATCCTAGAACGTTACAAATATTATATATGAATGTCATAACACAAAGAGTACTAATGCAGATGCAGTTTGGAGAATTCTGCAGTTAACTGGAGTTTGGAGGAAAGTTGTATGATGAATTCAGCATGTTAAAAGTATAGTTCTGCAGTTCTACCTTCATGCACCTCCACTGTTACTAGCACAAATGAGTAGGGACAGCACAACTGCATGGGAAGGAGAGGGGGAAGTTTTATATGCCAACTGCTTAAAAATAGATAATTAAGAAGTGTGTAGTAATAGCAGCCACGCAGACAGATACTGGGAAATCAGAATCCTAAAACCCCTAAGTAAGACTCTTTAGGAGTCCTTCCTAACCAGTATGAAAAAGCAAAAGTGAATATCTACAGCTCCTTGTTAAAGGTGAATGACAGAAGAAAACAAGAACTAACATCCAGTAACCTTGGGGCATTTGTCTCATAAATCTGAACAGCTGAGCAATATGGGCATTTGGCAAAGAACTGAAATTTACCTTCTTTACAAAGTACAGATTTCAGCGCTTTCTCCATCTGACACCTATTGCCTGCAACACAAGGGTGACACCTCACACCAGGGAATTCTTAAGAGCCAACTTACTGTGGTCAGTTTAAATTCCCCCAAAATTTATCTACTGCGGCATTTTTTGAAAGAGTTCCTTATCCTCACTTGCAAATATTGTAAAAATACTGTTAAAAAGAAAGATGCAATAGGAACACAGGGAATGTTGCTTAATTGCATGAACAGAAACTAAAGATTAAAATCCCTCAATTAAATTATATTCTTAAGTCCTCCTTAAATAACTGCAGCAACATACTTGAGAAAAGGACAAAATTAAAACAGGCCTGCATATTATATTACCAGGTTTTTCATTCTTGGTTTAGGTCTATATTTACTCAAAATCTGCAAACTAGTTGTTTCCGATTTACCTGACAGTCATGCAAACATCTGTGTCCAATGAGCTTGTTTCCTAAATACCTATGAACTTACTGAAACGAACTAAGTTCCCTAAAGTTCCTTAGGAAATACCTTTATTTTGTTGTATTTTGTTTTGGGGTTTTATAACTTTTATTTTTGTTTTATTTTTATTTATTTTATTTTCTCATTCTGGACTCCTCTGAGGACTGCATACACATCTTCACAGGCATAAGGAGGAAAGTGCTCTGGCTAACAAGATAGACAAAATGACACAGCATAAGTTGCATCACTTTGCAGTCCTGTATGTCCTTCTTCTGACCTAGGTGTAATTACATTTCTAGGAAGAAAAAGGTCTATCTCCTTGGCTGAGATTAAAATAAGGCTGAGTTTTGAGGCTGCTAGAGGTGTCACATTAACTGGCCTTCTGGAAGCAGGGGAGAGCTTTTCCACCCAGTGCTTACCTTCTCAAACCCAGATATGGTTAATGCTTCTATTTTTCCCCTTCATCTTTTGAAAGACTACTAAGTTACAGTTTAACATTTATCCTGATGTAACTTTGTACAGAACGAGTCCCCTGCAGCTTTCAAAAGGGGTTTCTTCCCCTAAAATCTACTCCCTATTCCACTTCAGGTTCAAAAGATAATGGGAGCTGGTTTTGAGACCATACTGGGTATCTTCCCCTCTGCATTCCAACAAAAGATTTATATTTCTTCCTTGTCTAGGGGCAGCCTGTTGGAAATAGCACATTGAATTGTCTTTACAAGATAAGAGCTTGTGAATACTGTTTGCCTACTTTGCAGCAGGTAGGATAAACATGAGAGTACATTAGATCAGTTTAGGGAGTTCCAATAGTCCTTGCAGAGACACCGAGACAATCAGAAAAACTCTTGATGCTTGGCAAGTCGCGAATGATTTTAAACTACTAGAAGGAATGACAGAATGTCTATTCTTTGCAATTGATGGTAAGATACTTATATTTCCCAATATAAGGTTGGACAACTAGAAACAAGGTGGTAGTAGACTATTTTGGACAATTTTAGACTTATACAAGTCCACCTTCGTTCTGGAAAAAAAATTCTAATATTTCTAACCAAGTTGCACAATCTCTTTCAGTTCACACAGCTTTAAGGGATGTTTTTCATTGCCTACTTAAGGCTGTAGCTCTTGAACATGTGATTTTTTGGGGGGTGATGATAACAACTGCAATTGAATAGGATTAGGGCACTCTACGTATACAAATTGCACAGCAACAAAATGAAATGTTAGTTCAAATATTATTCCAGCATAAAGATCCCCTCTGCCCCAAACACTATTCTATCCCTTGAAAGCTAGAGCTGTTTTTATTTTGCCCTATTTCAGAGTGGCTTTGGGTCTTACAGGCACAGAAGACAAATTGAAATGCCAGTTGTAGCTCTGTAACAGTCTCCTGCTTACTTTTCAGTTGCTATGACTGCATCTCTTCCCCAGACAGCACTGTCAAACCCTTTGAAGGGGACAGTTCCTGAAAATTACATCCCTGCAGAAGAGATTGTAGTTTCTATCCACATCACCTCTTTATTTATGTGCTTGTTTCTTTCTCCTCTTGCTTTAAGGGTCTAAAGAAAACAGAAGATTTTTTTTTTTTCTTTCTCTCCCCCCCGCCTCTTTTTTTTTTAACCTTCTCCTTCCAGGGGCTCCAGGTCTTAGTAGGATGTAGTATGGTGCTTGAATAACATTTCTATTAAAATTCTATTAAACATACTTACAAGATTTTTCTTACTTCAAGTGCTATAAAGTACTCCAAAATGTTTTATGCAACCAAAAAAAAGGAAAACAAAACCAGCAGCTTTCTAAACTGGACCTTTTACCTGATATAGGATTACAGTTAATTTTATGCCATGAAACATACTCCTCAGGGCAAAATTTGCTTCTTAACTACTGACAAACATGGATTGCACCACTGCTTCACCTATCCAAGCTCCTTTCTCAGTGTGTCACAGGGGAGGATTGGTTTTAATATGCAGCGAGGTGTGCCAAAGGAATAAGTGAGGAGCTTTCAGAAAAGGTCTTATAAAAAGTGACATGTAATGTTTAGACAAAAATGCTGTCTGACAGTCATTCACTGTCCATTTAAGGGTACCGCAGTGAGTCACTAAGGGCTTGACAACTAACCAAAATGCTCAAGTTCAAGCATCTAACAAGAAACATTAAATAAAAAAATCCCTTCTAAAAATGACACCTTTTTAATTTATTTTTAGTATCTAAACATTATCTTGGTCAGACTTTGTTAAGTAACTTTACCTTAGAAAGACTTCATGCTACAAGATTTTTCCCATTTACCTGTTTTATGGCTGTCACAGTTATGACAAAGAATAATGGCAATCCACTGGTAATAGGACTGGTAGGGGTATCTATCATGAGCTGGAAGAAAAGAAAATATGAAAGTTAGCCCAAATTATATTTGTACCTTCCAAAAAACCCAATGAAGCAAGATGACAACTAGTTTCCAAACTCCTCATTATAACCTGTGAGTATTTTTACTGCACTTTCTGCAGTATTTCTGGAGCAAAACTCCATTCCTGACACCTAAATAATACATGTCAATAATGATGCAAACAAAGGTTCTAGGGCATAGAACAGACTTAATCACAATTGTAATGCATGTGCCAATTTTAAGAGTCCTTAGTAAAAGGAAGCTATGTTTTCATCCTACAAAGATGAATTCAAAAGTATATTACAAAGGAAAGAAATCTGCATTTCGTGAAGCTCTTTCAATACTCTATACAATCTACTGCTTAACAGCAATGTAGAGCATAATAACCTCCACTTCAGAAGTGAAAATAAAGTTAAAAATAGTAATTTCCAACAGTTTAAAGAACACACTTTCTTAGACTGCTCCTTTCTGGTTCCCCCAAGTTAACATGCAGTTTTTACAATTTGTGCTATTATTGCTGGCATGCCAAAAGTGCAGTGTATACACTAAAATTCTGTATGTGAGGGGGATATTAGTGGTTCTCCTCTGCTGCAGGAAAAAACCAACATGGTCAAGTGCTGTAAAGAAAATATGCACAAGAACTATTCAAAACCACAGACACTGATTTGATCCACTTTACCTGAGACTTATGGCATTGCTTTGGGAACCATTAAAGAAGAAAAAAAAAAAAAATATAATCATACATGAAGTTTACTCTGTTAAGAGCCAAGAACCTCATAGAGAAAACAGATTATGCCACCTTACAACACATGCATGAGCTTCCCCCCCCCCCCAAAACACAGACAATTTATGGAATACAACAAAAATTAGATCTAGCCTGCAATACTGTCTGCTCTTCAACTAGCATTGCAATTTCAGGTTGGCAGCATGTTGTCCAAGAAAACCCATGCCAAAAGCATCCGATTTTTGGCTGGATAGGGTTCATCATGACATTTCTGCCATCTACACTCTCTCCTTCTTTCTCAAGAGAGGCTCATATGTGAAAATGGAGCAAGTTTTGTGCTGGTGGAATTGTCATGGCAGCCTGCTCCTTTTGCCTCTTTCACCAGAACACCACAGCCCTTTGTCTGCTACGCAGCTGGACATGCATTCATCACACAACTGGCATGAAGCCTCATGCGAACAAAATGCAGTCTGTCACCATGTTTCTAGCATGCATATGTGTGGTGAACAATGTGGACTGGATTGTGCTGCATGTTTAAATCACACAATGAGAACTTGTCGCAGCTCTGTCATCCCCAGTGGAATAGGGTGGTAATGACAGACACTGCATCTTGGTCAAATGAGATTCATAGGACAGAGAAGATACCATGGTGATCAACTTTGAAAGGCACCTTTGCCTTATAAAGAGAAAAAAATGTTAGATATTAATGAACTCCCAAACGGGATTTGAATAAAACCAGAATTCCGTTCTAACAAATGAACAAAAATGACTGCAGCTTTTCTCTTGTTCGGTTTCCAAGAATACAGACATATAGACAAGACATTTCCCATACAAATTAGGGCATCCACTTGAGTCACAAACTGGGAGAAGAACAGGATTACATTCTGAATAGAAGTTCTGCCTTTAGATCCATATTTGTTCATGGACATCACATTTAGATATTACTGAAGTCTAACAGTTTGAAAGGAATGTGACTCAAAATTGAACTAAAAAGGTAAATTTGCATTAAAAAGAAAGAAAAGCTTTAAAAATGCAACACTGTCTGTGGTTACTTTAAGTAACATTTATGTTCCATCTCCAGCATGCCCCCATCTTCCTTATGATACAATATGTTAAACAGCATGAAACATCATAACAGGAATGACAAAGACAATATTATTAACTAGGAAGATGGGATGGGCAACACATTCTGTTAGACTAAGTTAGAACCATATGACTTTAGTAACTCCCAACACAGGAATTTTTAGCCTATTAGAAAGCTCATTCTTTCTAAATGTGAAAGAACAAGAGTAAGGGACACAGGAGGCAATGGATTAAAAATTGCAGAACTGGCCCTCCTACTGACATTTTGCATAATCACAGACAAATCTTATGAACTCTTCAGTATTCCTGATTTTTGCCCAATGAGGCACCACCTTTTTCAGATGCATACCGCAAGTGTTGGTTAATCACTGTGGAGGGCTGTGCATGCTCAACGCATGCTATTTTGTAACAAAAGAAAAGTTTGTGTACCCCAAAAATCTTGTCTCTTAGATATCGATTGGTCTTTCAAAAGTTATTCTCTCTCCTTACAACTTTTCTCCCACTTACTCTTCATCTACAAAGTCTGCAATGGCTCAACAGAATTCAAGTACTAGTACAGAGTTGGAGGTGCAAACATCACAGAAAATTTACAGACTGTTATAATGTACTTGTGGATGTTCTTAATTAGAAGAAATATACTCTGCTACAAAAGCCACAGTAATATTTCTGACCTATACTGTATCAACAACAGCACTAACTGATGTCTTCAAAACTCAAAAACTGTCAATCCTAGCTGTAAATCTTCATGTGTTCATTTTATCCGAACAAATTGAATTTGAGGATCTTAGAAGTGTGTGACAATAGTGTGTTATTTACAAAAGCAAGATTCCACCTACAATGAGTATATACACTAATCTATGCTCAGCTCAAGAGCAAGCATACTGCCCAATTTGATGCAAGTGAACTTGAACCTCTGCATTTCTGCACACTAATGTCCCAGAAGCATTTAAAAATGCACAGCATAAAACTCCTGGTTTATTCAAACACCACCAACATCCACAAAAAATCAAAAAAGCACATTTGAACAGATTTAAGATTGTATTTTGAGGCAGACAATTGAGTCTCTGTGCTGAAAGTGCAATGGACATCGAAGCTGCACGCTTAAATATATTAGCATTCATGAAGATAAAACTTAAAGACAGTACTTAAGTTTGGACATAATTTTTTTAAAGATTTTTTTCCTAGAGAATCTGGAAATATGTTGTTTTTATAGACAGAATATGCAAGTAGAGAAGTCAAATTCAGAATGAAAATCAGTGGCAGAATTTACAACATAAATTGCAATTCCATGAGTAGTATTCAACTTACCTGAACCAAAAATATAATCAGAAAATAAAAGTTGGCTACTCTTCTGAACTGCTCAAATAAGTTTTTTGGAACAAAATTCCACACTGTGTACTGAAGGGAAAAAAGGGAGAGAGAGAGAATAACAGTTTTGACATACTGAACAATTTCTCAGTGAAACTCTCTTAACCTACATCTTTCCATTTTCCATCTCCCCGCCCCTAAACCTTCTTGCCCTACTCCCACACAGAACTGCTGTATCCAATTTCCACACACCCCCACACACCCCACCAAGTACAGCTAGCAGGGAAGCAGGAGTAGCAACTGCATTGCCTTTACAGTCAAAGTCTTAAATGTTCTCGTACCAACTGGGATAGGAGCAGCTGGAGTCATCTGGCTGCTTGTATCCTGGGTAGCAGAGAAGAAATTAATTCTTGCAGCTGTAACTTTCTCTCTTACACTAGAGCAACAAGACACATCCCCACCATCAGTTCTACTGATTCCAATCCAAGGTCACACTAGGAGGGAATCTGCAATTGCAGTCCATTGCTGATACATTTTATGCAGAGTACTATCTTACACTTTGGCTATTTTATAAATCCTCACAACCAGCTTCATCCCTCCTTTTAAGCAGTTCTGTGCATCACATCCAGACACGGGCAACACTGCTGTAACATCTACTTTTCTTCAGAAATTCTGACCAACATGCTTAATTGTTCTGTACTTAGTCAGGTTCTGAGGAAAGAGGGATGAGAGCAGGAGAAAAACTACACAGGAAACAACCTATCTTTTTCCTCAAAAAAGTTTAAAGCTTGTTTCATTCTGAATATTGTATATGCACCATTAGACACAATACACACATGCACATTTGCTACACAACTTCTTAAGTAACATATCAAGTGGTTTTCCCATGACAAATTGATTCCTTACCTTGGATGATATGATTCTGTTGTCCGCAAACTTCTGGGGAACATAATGGCCATGCTGGGGAAAACGATTTGCTATATAAATAGTTCTTGTATCGCTTTGATGCGGTGGGTCAAAACCCTAAAACACAAAATAAAAAAAAAAAAAAGATGATCAAGAAAGACTATTTTATTAACTGTAGTTCTGTAAAACTGTTATCTCTGTGCTGAAAAATGATATCCAGGTATCAAGTAGCAGTTTTAGAACAGCGGTTTTTGAATGGGAAACAAAACTAATGTGTAAATTAAAGTCTGCTGTGTCCAGAGAATTTTCAAAAATTGGGAAAAAAATAATAATCTCAATTTTGAGGTTGTGTACTCATTCTGGAAAATGAACGAAAAAATCCTAAGTCTCAAAAAGGATAGAGAATACTTGCTATCATGCAAACTTGAAGCCCTGTGAAACTTAAAAAAGAAGAAACAGAAATGGAGATGAAACATACATATATTACAGAACCTCACAGTCGAGCTTATGATAATCCTAATAAAACAGATTATGAGAAAAGGTCAAAACAAACAAGTCACAATAGTATGCTATGATAACTGGATTTTGAAAAGATTCTCACCAGCTTAAAAACAAAAGTATATGCATCTGACTAGACAACAGTATTTTTCCAAACGAGTTCTATCCCCGAGAACTAACATTTTGTCTAACGTCAAATGCGATTTCCTGACATTACCACCAATTCACACATGAGGGGTAGCAACACTAAAAGCAAACTCATTAAAAAGATACTCAGAAGTACTTATCAACAGTTCCCTGCCAAAAAAGATCTGAGTGAGGTCCCTTGGAACCAAAGCCCTGTTTCAGGTCTAAAGGTCAGTATTTTCATCAACTGCCTCTCTGCAAGGGGAAGGGGAACACAGATGTTAAATTTGCAGGTGACACCACCTCAGGACTGCAAGAACACCAAATGAGAAGAAAGATTCAAAATCATCTTGACCAACCAGATGCATGGAAGCCTGAAAGATACAGCTCTTAGACACAATTAACTGCATCTACAAAAAGAGAACAAAAGCCCATACAGGAGTTCTGTAGAAAAAGATCAAAAGGCTATAGCTGATCACAGGCTGAATGTGAGTCAGTAACGCCATGCCACCAAGGAAAAGGCCTTCAGTACTAAGGAGGCTGGAGGAGGAGTGGGAGGCACAGTTGAAGCACTGTGAACCAACTGGACAGCATCCAGAGGAGCGGAACATGAGTGTCATGCTTTAGGCCCAGCCAGCAATAAAGCACCATGAGGCCGCTCACTCACTCCTCACCCACCATGCGATGGGGAGGAGAAAATATAATGAAAAGCTCGTGGGTCAAGACAAGGGCAGGGAGGGGTCACTCACCAATTATGGTCACAGGCAAAAAAAGACAGACTCAACTTGGAGAAAAAAAACCGAACCAATTTAATTTCTTACCAATCAAATCAAAACAGGATAATGAGAAGTAAACCCAAATCTTAAAAACACCTTCCCCGCACTCCTTCCTTCTTCCTGGGCTCAACGTCACTTCCAATTTTCTCTACCTCCTCCCGCTAGCAGCACATGGGGACAGGGAATGGGGGCTGCAGTCAGTTCATCTACACATTGTCTCTGCTGCTCCTTCCTCCTCACAGGGACTCTTCCTCTGCTCCAGCATAGGGTCCCTCCCACAGGAGACAGTCCTCTACGAACTTCTCCAGCATAGGTCCTTCCCACGGGCTGCAGTTCTTCATGACCTGCTCCAGCATGGGTCCTTTCTGCAGGCTGCAGTCCTTCAGGAGCAGACCGCTCCAGCACAGGCTTTCCCATGGAGTCATGGCCTTCTTCAGGGGCATCCGACTGCTCTGGCATGGGCTCCTCCCTGGGCTGCAGGTGGGCATCTGCTAGCCCGCTCCCCTCCATGGGCTGGGGGGGGGGACAGCCTGCCGTCTCACCACGGGCTGCAGGGGCATCCCCTCCTCCGGCACACGTCCTCCCCTCCTTCCTCACTGACCTTGGCTTCTGTGTAGGGGTTTCTCTCACTTTCCGATCCCGCCACCCGCTGCAGGTTCCCCTTCTTAAACATGTTATCCCAGAGGCGCTACCACTGTCAGTGATTGGATCGGCCTTGGCCAGCAGCAGGTCCAACTTGGAGCCAGGGAAGCTTCTAGCAGCTTCTCACAGGAGCCACCCCTGTAGCCCCCTCCCCCACTACCAAAACCCCGCCACACAAACCCAAAACAATTAGACACAAGAGATCCTGAAAACATGACATATAACACAAGGCTGAACAATATAAAAAGCAAAGAGCAAAGAAATTAGAGTAATTTAGCCTAAGGGAGAGGAAACTTGGGATATACTAGCACATCTTCTGACATGTAAGACTGTTCCACCAAGAAAAGGGGTAATCTGAAAGACTATGAACAACAGAAGTCCACTTAAGTTGCGGCTAGGAAAATTTAGTTTGGATATTGGAAAAACAAACAAAAATTCCTTTCTTATGGAAAGGAATAATTAAAAACCAAAATAAGTCACATGGGAAGGTTGCAATGTCTCTGTAACGCAAGGGCTTATATCTAGGTCATTCAAGTCTATCTTTAATTGAGCCTTTCCTGGGGCTACATGACTCACCAGAACCCTTCCTAGCTGTAACATTCTGACCTGGAGAAGCAGGTGATGGCAAAACAAAACATGCAAGACAGTAAAACAGTAATAATTCAGACAACAGGCCAAGAAAATTACTAAAATAAAAATGAAAAAGCTTTAAGACATGGAACAAACTAATGAAATTAAATTTGGAACTGTTAAGTTGTTCGATAGGGAATCAATGATTGTCCAGCAAGTTGCGAATTTCAGCATGAGTGTCACACATTCCTAATCTTGGAACCAACTCTGCACCGTATACATGGTCTCCTTGTTCTTTGATGCCAAGTGGAAGGACAAATGGTGAAACAGCTACAAAGGGCATTACCAATTCCACTACTGGAGGTGAGTAAACTACCTTTGCAGTTGGGTTGCTCCACTAGTGAAACCAGGCTCAGACCTTGATTCTCGTCAAATAGAAACTGACACTTCACAGACCTCCAACAGCAGATACCTCTGTACCAGTTAACTGCAGCGGATGATGAACAGTGAGCACAATGAGCTACATAAAAAATGGTTGGTATAACCAATTGAGAATTTTCTTTAACACATGAATATCTCTAACACAGGGCATTAGGTATGTTCACATTCAGGATGGCATCATTTTAAAGTAAAGGAATAATTTAAAAAATCCTCTCAAACATACAAATTTTTGTATTTGCCATCATTACTACAGACACATTATGCTTCAGAAAGAAAGAGGTCCAGAAGAAAGAAGGGAGAAAGAAAGGAAGGGGGATTTTTCAAAGAGATTTGAAGGAGAGTAAACTTTAGATGACAAGCAGTGGAAGGCTGCTCTAGTCACATGCTCCAGTGTGAAAGCTTGTTTAAAGATAAGAGTGGAGCAGGGAGACAAAAAGTAGATAGGGGAAACGATGGGAAAAAATACATAGGATGCCAAAAGCAAAAAGAAAGGAACTTTACAACTTCAAGAAAAGAAATACAAGGATGAAAGTAAGATTAAAAAAATGTACCTGTTAAACAATGACAGAAAATTTTAAGAGAACAACATTTGTAGCAGAAGCATTTTGGATATCTGACATTAGTGACACATAATTTCTAAATCAATCCAGAAGATGCCACAATAAAAGTGTTTTGCAAGCAAAAAAAAAAAAAAAAAAAAGTGCTTAATTAGTAAGACTAGGTACACACCTCTTCCATCTCAGAAAATGTCTGGCACTCACAAAATGCCAGACATCCTCACTTTGGAAAGTCATGCTCTACAGCCTGAAAAAATTCCACTCTAAACCAAACAGATGTAAAGCAAGGAAAAAAACAGAGAAAGCAAAGAAAGCGACTGGCGACTGGCAGTCTTCTGATGGTGATAAATGCTAATCTCCAAGCCACTCACTGAAAGTTATTACAAGGTAAATGAAAAATTTCAGAGTGACTAGGGTATTACTGCATTTTTTCCGAAGTATTTATATGCCCTTTTTAGGCCACTCTCTGAGCACCTGAAAGTTGATGAACTTAATGACGTTTTTCTTATGAAGAGCAAAGGCCTCCATGCAACTCAAGACTAACTGCACAAGCACTTCTATCAGAGGAGAGTACCTCCGCTGAAGAAGACTCAACCGATTAAAAGTGAGGAATCTATTTTCCAAATCAGAATCTCAGACCATACAAGTTTACAGGTGCAGTTGTGCAGCTAAAACAGGTTAAAATTGCAGTCTATACAAATTTAACTCTGTTTTGTTGAAATTTACCACGGAGAAAGTGCAGAAGCTGTGCAGTCAGCAGATCTATGGAGATGGCAATGAACAAGCAAGGCAGGCTGGGGACAAGAACCCCTTCAGTTGTCAGAGCTATGGCTGGAAAAGGACACATCCTTGACAACCTTAGTGACTTGACTGTAGTCACAGCAGGAAATAAGTGTCACAGATGGGAACAGAACCCAGATTTCCTAAGTTTCATATCTGTAACTATGAAAGATCATTTAGAATTACCCAACAACCCTGTCATCACAGAATTAGCTGGTGAGACTGCAACCAAGCAGCTCTCCAGAGACATTTTAATTACACATCTCCCCGAGGAAAATTCTGCACAGACGTTGAGCTTAATTGTTCAAGAATTGAAATGCCTTTAACTTTTCTGTAACTATGGGGCTGGTCACAGATCCTGCTCGTGACACAAAACTGATTTGTAGTCCAAATTTCTGCACAGCAAAGGGACTTTGCATAGCATCTACACACAAGCCAGCAAAGAGGTGCAGAAAGCACCCAGTTTCCTAATTTAACTTATTAGACAGTTCTTTCTCTTTCTAATGTCATTATCAAACTCAGCTGCAAAACTAGGGTAACATGCCCTTGTTAAAAGATTTCTGCAGCTAAATAGCATAAGCAGAGTATCCCTAAATTAAATTTTGAGTCTTGCAAAAAGATTTAGTTATCACCAATACCTTTCAACATAAGTTAGTTTTCCTGCAGTTATCTAGTGCAGTGATTTCTACCTAAGTGCATAGATCATTGACTTCGTAACAAAT